TGAGACACCCCAAAATTCACCTGGAACACCCAAAATCGGTAATGGACAGTTCCACCCGCGCCTGGCCCGGGGGGGGAAGAAATGCACCCCAAAATCCACCTGAGACACCCCAAAATTCACCTGAGAGACCCAAAATACATCTGAGAGACCCAAAATCCACCTGAGAGACCCAAAATACACCTGAAAAAACCCAAAATCCACTTGAGAGACCCAAAATCCACCTGAGACACCCCAAAATACACCTGGAACACCCAAAATCCACCTGAGACCCAAAATCCACCTGAGACACCCCAAAATCTACCTGAGAGACCCAAAATACACCTGGAACACCCAAAATCCACCTGAGAGACCCCAAAATCCACCTGAGAGACCCCAAAATTCACCTGGAACACCCAAAATCGGTAATGGACAGTTCCACCCGCGCCTGGCCCGGGGGGGGAACAAATGCACCCCAAAATCCAGCTGAGACACCCCAAAATTCACCTGGAACACCCAAAATCCACCTGAGAGACCCCAAAATTCACCTGAGAGACCCAAAATACACCTGAGACACCCCAAAATTCAGCTGAGAGACCCCAAAATTCACCTGAAAAACCCCAAAATTCACCTGAGAGACCCAAAATTCACCTGAGACACCCCAAAATTCACCTGAAAAAACCCAAAATACACCTGAGAGACCCAAAATAGACCTGAGAGACCCCAAATACACCTGAGAGACCCCAAAATACACCTGAGAGACCCAAAATACACCTGAAAAAACCCAAAATCCACCTGAGAGACCCAAAATTCACCTGGAACACCCAAAATCCACCTGAGAGACCCAAAATCCACCTGGAACACCCAAAATCCACCTGAGAGACCCAAAATCCACCTGGAACACCCAAAATCCACCTGAGAGACCCAAAATTCACCTGGAACACCCAAAATTCACCTGAGAGACCCAAAATTCACCTGAAAAACTCCAAAATCCACCTGAAAAACCCCAAAATTCACCTGGAACACCCAAAATTCACCTGAAAAACCCCAAAATTCACCTGAAAAACCCCAAAATCCACCTGGATCCCCCAAAATCCACCTGGACCCCCCAAAATCCCCCTGGGACCCCCCCAAAATCCAGTGGAACCTCCCAGTCCCTTTTCAAACCCCCCTGGGCTGGAACAGCCCAAAACATTTTTTGGGGGGGGGTGGGAATCAACCCCAAAAATCCTGAAAAGGGGAAAAAATAAAAAAATTTAAATTTTGGGGAGGGGCAAAGACGATTTTTTTTTTTTTTTTAGGAACTCAAAAAATCCCCAAAATTCTTTACCCCCCCCCCCCAACGACGAGCTCTGATATAAAACTATTTATTCATAAATATTTTCCAAAAATGAAAATAACTTTACGAAAAAATATCAACTGCTGAGGGTGGTGGTGGGGGGGAAGAGAAAAAAAAAAAACCCCCAGGGGGGGGACCCCAAAAAAACCCCAAAAAAACCCAAAAAATCCCCCCAAAATTTCCTTTTTTTGGTGGTTTTTTGGTGGTTTTTCGGTGGTTTTTCAACCCTTAACCCCCCCAAAAATTCGGCAGCACCGAGAGGGGGAAATTTGGGGTGAAGCTGGTTCTGACCCCCCCCCCAAAAAGCATGCAGGGGGTTTGGGGGGGATTTTTGGGTTGATTTTGGGGGATTTTGGGTCCCCTCACTGCAGGTCTCGGTCCTCCAGGTAACGATACTCGAAGGTGAAGCCTTCCTTCTTGCGCTGCCCCCACTTCTCGTAGTCGAAGTAGATGTAAGTGCCCTGCGAAATTTTGGGGGGCGGGAGGGGTCAGGGACACCCCAAAAATCGATCGGGGGTCCCCAAAAACCCCGATCCCAAAAAAAACCCCAAAAAAATCCCAATTTGGGGAGGGGTTTTAGGGGATTTTTGGGGATTTATGGGAAATTTTTTGTGATTTTTTGGAAGAATTTTGGGATTTCAGGGGGATTTTGGGTTGCAGAAATTTGGGGAACCCCAAAAAATGATTTGGGGTCCCCAAAAACCCCAACCCCAAAAAAACCCAATTTGGGGAGAGGTTTTAGGGCATTTTTGGGGATTTTTTGGATATTTTTGGATTTTTTGGAAGAATTTTGGGATTTCAAAGGGATTTTGGGGTGTAAGTAAAAATTTTGGGGTGCAGAAATTTGGGGAACCCCAAAAAACGATTTGGGGTCCCCAAAAACCCCAACCCAAAAAAAACCCCGTGAAAATCCCATTTTGGGGAGGGGTTTTAGGGGATTTTTGGGAATTTCTTGGATTTTTTTGTGATTTTTTGGAAGAATTTTGGGATTTCAGGGGGATTTTGGGGTGTAGAAATTTGGGGAACCCCAAAAAAATCATTGGGGGTCCCCAAAAACCCCAACCCCAAAAAAACCCATTTTGGGGAGGGGTTTTAGGGGATTTTTGGGAATTTTTTGGATTTTTTTTGAAGAATTTTAGGGGGATTTTAGGGTTCAATTTAAAGTTTTGGGGTGCAGAAATTTGGGGAACCCCAAAAAAACGATTGGGGGTCCCCAAAAACCCCGATCCCAAAAAAAACCCCAAAAAAACCCAATTTGGGGAGGGGTTTTAGGGGATTTTTGGGGATTTTTTGGATTTTTTGGGGAAATTTTGGGATTTCAAAGGGATTTTGGGGTGTAAGTAAAAATTTTGGGGTGCAGAAATTTGGGGAACCCCAAAAAAATCATTGGGGGTCCCCAAAAACCCCAACCCAAAAAAAACCCCAAAAAAACCCCAATTTGGAGGGGGATTTTAGGTGATTTTTGGGAATTTTTTGGTATTTTTTGCAATTTAAAGGAATTTTTTGGGATTTCGGGAAGGATTTTGGGGTGTAAATAAAAATTTTGGGGTGCAGAAATTTGGGGAATCCCAAAAAAAACGATTTGGGGTCCCCAAAAACCTCAACCCAAAAAAAACCCCACAAAAATCCAAATTTTGGGGGGATTTTAGGGAATTTTAAGGATTTTTTGGGGTTTTTTTGGGAATTTTTGGAATTTTAGGCGGGAATTTTGGGATCCAGGTGGGAATTTCGGGGCTCCCAATCCACTTTGATTAAAAATTCCCATGGAAATTGGAATTAAAATCGGAATTTTGGAGGAATTTTTGTGTCTCTGGTCGGGATTTTTTTAATGGGATTGGGAAAATTTGGGGATTTTGGGGTGGGAATTTCGGATCCAGGTGGGAATTTTGGGAATTCCGGGTGGGATTTTGGGAATTCGGGAATTGGGGGCACTGGGATTTTGGGATTTCGGGAATTGGGGGCAGTGGGATTTTGGGAATTTGGGAATTTGGGAATTCCGGGCATTGGGAATTTGGGAATTGGGGGCACTGGGATTTTGGGAATTTGGGAATTGGGGGCACTGGGATTTTGGGATTTTGGGAATTGGGGGCACTGGGATTTTGGGATTTTGGGAATTGGGGAATTCCGGGCATTGGGAATTCGGGAATTGGGGGCACTGGGATTTTGGGATTTTGGGAATTCCGGGCACCTGCTCGAACTCGTCCGTGATGGTTTTGGGCTCCTCGTGCCGCTGGAACCACATCATGTACTTGGTGTGGAAGCGCCAGGATTGCTTCTTGAG